AACAAAACCAGAAGTAAAGGCATGTGGCTTCATTGGTAGAGGGCTAGCCTTGATCAAAAGCAGCTCACAGACTGTGCCCAGATCCTGAGTTCAAGGTCTGGGACTGGGAACAAACAGACATACACACCAATCTGTGCAGCCATCCGGCTAAAGCAGGTAACCTTCTTGTCTCCAATTGGATTGGACAGAGTTCCCTGGGAAAGGGGCTGCCATCATCTTGACTCCACCCATTCTGCCTGCATCACAGGATTCCAGCCACACTCCCATTCTTTCATGGTTCTTTCTGACCAATGGGATACAAGAATGGTGGCCATGCCCACATTCCATACTGCCCAGTAGCACTGGGATTCCATCTGTTGGTTGACACCACTACCAACAGTTGAGGAAGGTAGAGGTAGCTGAGTGATGAGCAAGAGACTCGAGGCCTAGGAGGAGAGGCCTTGCTCAGCCACCATGTGCCCGCCTGCACTCTGGCCCCCTCCCCCCCTTCTCCGTGGCACAGCATTTCAAACCTGGTGCTGCTGGCTCAAACCCAATTTGCCTCTTGGATTCGTCAGGCAATGGTGCAATGGTGTGCCTCTAGCCAGCTTGTGGCACTGACCTAGTCCTGGCCCCCTTGTCCTCTGCTCTGGACCTGATGTCCGCCATTCCACTGCCATTGCTGTTCTCCCCACCTGGAGCAGCTGCCAACAGATTTTGCCAGCAGCACATGTGAGTGGCGACCACACAGGCCCGCTCCCTGCAACCTCATATCACCCCCCCTCCCAACCACGACCAGCGCCTCCTCTGTGCCCCACACTCTGGCCCACGGCTTGCCATAAATTTGCCCCAGGAGTGGGGGGTGGGTATTCACCCGAGGATCCCATCCCCATCTCCAGCATCTAGTGTCTCAGGAAATGGGGAGATGCAGGGTTGGGTGATTAGTGGACACCACAGAACCCCTGACCTGGAGCAGTGGGAGCCACACAGCCGCACATCTGCACCCTTCCTTTCCCTGGTGGGAACCTGTTGGGGAGCAGCATGTTCACACCTGCCTTCTGGGGTCTTTTCCCTTTTTCTGGGGATGGGAGGCATTGGATGCAGAAGATAGGCCCCCCTTTCTGTGTGAACCCTTGTCTTCTGTGCTCGGTCATCCTTTCACCTGAAGACAGAGAGACAGAGAGAGAGATCATCTTTCTCCTTGTACAGCCTAACTGTGCTCAGGTGAGTAATCACTTGGCAAATTGCAGGTGTTGCATGGATGAGTCTTCTGTCACCAGTCTGGATGTGTGTGTGTGTGTGTGTGTGTGTGTGTGTGTGTGTGTGTGTAGCAGTGAGTGGTAACAAGGAGGCTGAATGCTTTGGTAACTTCTACCTGCTATCTTTTGGGCATGCATGGGCTTCATAGCTGAGGTCTAGGAGCCTGGAAACGTGAGACGCTTGAACGGGACACAGCACTATTAAATTACAAGAACAAGGGATCTGTGTGCCCTGGAACTGTGTACTCCATTGGGCCTGTTTGGTGGCAGTGGGAACTTGGGAGGACCTAGGAGTGCAGCCTGCAGGGGAAGGCTTCCCCGGAAGACAGAGAGCATGGCCAACATTTAGTAAAGTTATGAGTCCTGCTAGTATGGAGTGCAACAGCATAGGTCAGACTCTGGGTTTTCCAATCATGATCTCTGATGGGCGAGGCCAACCCTATTTTAAATCTTGAGCTGTGATCTTCAGATCTCACCCTCCTGAGTACCTAGGATTATCGGCATGAGCCTCTGGCACTGGGACTCTGGTTCTTTTTGGTATATTAGGGTTTGACCTCAAGGCCTTAGGCTTGCCAGTCAGGTCTTCTACCAGCTTTTCTGTCTTGGGCATTTCTGAGACTTAATATATGCTCAGGTTGGGGTGGATCACAGTCCTCCTATCTGTGACAGGCATGAGCCACCAGGTTCGGTCCTCTGTAGTTGGGATGGTAGACATGTAGAGCCACGCTCAGTCAGTGGTTTAGATGGATTGTCACAAACTCAGTCCACAGCAGCCCATTTTTGACCACAGGTGAAGCTCTGGGTTGGGCCTCAACCATTGGACTTCAATCTCCTCATGGGACAGTTTTGAGAAAACAATTTATTAATACAGAGGGATCTCTAGAGCAGGGCCAGGCACAGAGTTAGGGGCTGTTAGATACGGTTCTTGGAAGTTCTGTGAGTATTTGACAGAAAATACCCGGAGAGATCTCAGATGGTGTGTGTTATTAATGTTGTGACAGGTATGGGATTATGAAACAAAACACGACTCTCTTTCTTTAATACCCAATCCCCATGAGGAACAGGATCCTTCACTTTGTTCAGATTTGAAGCTGGGGAAACTGAAGCACAGAGAAGCTGGGTGACCTACTTATGTCTCCCAGCTGACAGGAAGCTCGGCCTGACTTCTCTGCCATGCTCCCTAGGACAATAGGTGTTATTCAGTCTACTTCTTGTGGTGGGAAGTCCACTTCTTTTCAGTCGTGGGACTTGAACTCTGGGCCTGGGCCAGCTCCCTGAGCTCCTCAGCTCAAAGCTAGCACTCTATCACTTGAGTCACAGGACCACTTCCAGTTTTCTGGTGGTTCTTTGGAAATAAGAATCTCACAGGTGTTCCTGCCCGGGCTGGCTATAAACCACAATCCTCATATCTCTGCCTCCATTGTACTTAGGATTACAGGCCTGAGCAACAGGTACCTGGCTTAAATGTAATTGTGACCTTCTTTCTTTTTTTTTCTCTCTCTCTCAGGAACTGATTGAATGGGTGCTGGAGGAGTTGGCTCAGCATCCCCAATGTAGTTGATACCAAGGTGGCCCTCTCATTCTGGAGGTGGGCTGTGGGTCAGGAGCTGTCTCGCTCAGTCTGTTGTATCAGCTCCATGAGGTAAGTCCCTCTGTGCCCTGGCTAGACCGTGAACCGTGACAGTTATTCATTGTCTATCTAGCCTTACTGGATTCAGTACTGTGATCAATGACCTTTTCTAGCAAAAATTTCTGGTTAAAATTATGATACATAGCTATGGAATGAAAATTTAATGTCATCTTAACAGAGTCATTTAGGGTTCTGGGAATGTGGCTTCATGGTAAAGTGATTGCCTAGCATGCATGAAACCCTGGGTTCAATTCCTCAGTAACACATAAACAGAAAAAGAAACACTGGAATTGGTCCTGTGCCTCAAGTGGTAGGAATTGAGCAAAAAAAAAAAAAAAAAGCTGAGGAATAATTCCCAAGGGCTGAGTTTCAGCCCCAGGACTGCCAAAACAACAACAGCAGCAACAACAACAATGAACATTTAGTTAGTAAATGCAAAATAAAGAATCCAAACTTGGAATATATAATTGTTCCTTCCATACTGATACTTGATAATAGTCCCTAATTCATGTACATTACCTATATTAGGATACTGTGTTGAAAAAAAGTTTTGTTCATTAGGTAAGGGCAATTAATGCCAGGAATGTGCTTAGATGTCAGGTGAAGATTAATTCTGGAAATTCAAAGATTCCAGGATTTTGAGAGGGGTCACTGCTAATCACAATGAGAAGGGTAGTCTAAGTGAGATTTGGAAATCATTTTGGCCAGTCATAGCACCAAAAAGGCAGAAGATAATTAACAGTCATGATAGAAGAGAAGGAATAACTCCAGATGGAAGCAAAAAAATGATAGTAGCTAAGGTATAGCAGAAACAGTTCTAGTGAACCATTTTTGGTTATTGAAGAACTAGTTATCAACTAGGCTTATTCCTCATTGCTTTAGCATTCTAAATCTCTTAGGCTAGATAAATGTGTCTCCTTCTATGCTGTTCTTTCATACCTGATATCCTTTGTTTTCTAAAAATCTGTCTTTCTATATTTCTCTATGAACATTTCCTAATACTAAATACACCTATACATATGTCACAGGATGCTAATGTAAGGGCCCCATAGCTCATGAGTCATTAATGTAACAAAATGGAAAAGGAGGAGATATTTATTGCTACCTCAATTTTTCTGAAAAGCTGCAATGTCATCATTTGGTTCAAATTTCCATTCTCTGTCTACATAGTGTCATTAAGTGAACATAAATGCAAATATGAGCCGGGTGCTGGTGGCTCTTGCCTCTAATCCTAGCTAAAACCAGAGGATTGTGGTTCAAATCCAGCCTGGTCAGGAAAGTCCATGAAACACTTATCTTCAATTAGCCATCAGAAACCCAGAAGTGGTGCTGTAGCTAAAGTGGTACAGCATTCAAGTTGAGCTGAAATGCTGAGAGACAGTGCCCAGGATCAGTGTCCAATCCCCACAATCAACAAAAAAGTGCAAATATGGCTTTAATTTTCCCCCAAAGGAATGATGAAGTCAATATTAATCTTCCCAAAGGATTCAGTGCACCTACTTTTGCTGAGTATGTAGATTTATGGGAGTGATATAGAGAAAGCATTACTTCTATGTGGAACGTGAAGCCACTTCCTTTCTAATTAACGCTTTATAATCACGTAATTTTGTAAAAAGGAGAATGGAAGAATTGTTGGGAGCCGACAGTAAAGCTCCAACGTCATCTTGACCCTTGTGCTCACTTGAAGGCACATACAAGAAACTGGCTTTCATGAAAAACACCAGGTGTCCGGGTTTGCCTTGCTATGTCTGTAGAATTTGTTTTACTTTCTATCAGATGACCTGGTCTTGTTTCTTTCTGCACCCTTGTTTTTATTAAAATTTTCCTTGCTTTTCTGCACTATGGTGACCTTAGGCTACCCCTTGACTTCTAATAGTACAAATAAGGAGAGTTAAAAATAAACGGGGCCGCAGTCTTGAGCTGCAGACCTCCCGACCCCATCCTTTGTCTTATGTCTTTATTTTTCCGTCCTCGCCCCCAAATCAGGAGTCTCTTTCATTGCTGGCTGGTTCCGGCAAGTGGCGCCTGAACAGGGACCCTGAAAACCTGGGATCAAGGCAGAGGACCCCGCTAAGGTAAGAGTACGTGTCCGGAAAAAGAGAGGGTGATAGTATAGTCGGGAGTAAGAAATTATGGATCAAGGAAACAGCCGCACATTATATGTGCAGGCTCTTAAGGGCATGCTTCAAGCTCTAGGAGTAAAAGTTGGACAGAGTCAATTAGAGAGCTTCTTTTGCTTTATTGAGGAAGTATGCCCCTGGTTTCCGGAGGAAGGAACCATTAGTTTAGAAACTTGGCAAAAAATAGGAAAAATGATTCAGGAGCATTATGATGCAAATGGCCCTGAAAAAACCCCAGTGGATGCTTTTACACTTTGGAATTTAGTTCGAGACTCTCTGGACCCCAGACATGAACAAATAAAATTTAATCAGTTGATTAGGAAAGTTGGACAGGGTAACGAGTCTCGCCCTGCCCCAGGAGCACATACTGCTGCCCAAAAGAAATCAAATACATTGATAAAAGTTGAATCTATTGAGTCAGAAAATGAGAAAAATTCAGATGGCTCGGATGCTGAGGAAAAGTCAGATGACTCAGATACTGAGGAAAAAATATATGATGAGCCTATTGAGGATAAAACAGTCCATTTTGAGGAAATGTTAAATTCTTTTATGAAAAAATTGTCACAGATTGAAGCAATGCAACGACCCCCTTTAAGGGTGAATGTTTGTGAGCCCACTTTAACAGCTCTAGGGGACTCAGATTTCTTTCCCCCACCCCCTCTGCCTGTTATTCCCCAGACGCAGTCTACTCGGTCTGCGCAGCTTAGTTGACCCAGGCCTTTGAAATTATCTAGTCCTCCTAATGATGAATTCCCTCTTTGGACAGGGGCTATTTGCCCTCCCAGGCATAGTGCCTTGCAGCTCTCATTAGCACAGGCTGATCAAAGAGGGGAGGATATTTCTGGTTTTCATTTATTTCCTGTAATGGAGGACCAAAACCAACAAAGAACTCACCAACCTATTCAATTTAAACAAATAAGAGACTTGAAAAACGCTTGCGCTCAATATGGACCTACAGCTCCATTTACGCAGGTAATTTTGGAAATATTGTCCACTGATGCTTTATGCCCTAATGATTGGAAACAATTAGCCAGAGCTTATCTTAGTGGAGGAGATTACTTGTTGTGGAAGTCTGAATTTGTGGAACAGTGTCAGGCCACAGCAGAGGTTAATAGGGCTAATAATATACCTACTACTTTTGCAGAGCTTGCTGGGGAAGGTGCTTATAATGACATCCATACCCAGTTAAATTACCCTGTGGGCGCATATGCTCAGATTAATGCCGCTGCTAAGCATGCCTGGAAGAAACTTCCTAACTCTAATAAGACTGAGGATCTTTCTAAAATTAGACAAGGACCAGATGAAACTTATCAAGACTTTGTCTCTCGGTTACTAGAGGCAACAAGCCGTCTCATCCAAGATGGGGATGCCGGTATGGTTCTTGTACAATTGGCATATGAAAATGCTAATGCAGCTTGCCAAGCAGCCATTAGACCACTTAGAAAAAAAGGAGGAATAACTGATTATATTCGGCTCTGTGCTGACATTGGCTCATCCTATATGCAGGGCCTCACACTGGCTGCTGCACTTCAGGGACAAACCATAACTGAATTCCTCCGCTCTCCCCAGGGAGGCAAAAATGGAGGAAGATGTCCCCAAATTGCTGGACCTCCTGGCAGCTGTTTTTCTTGCGGCCAAATGGGCCATCTAACAATTCAATGTCCTAATCAGAAAAAGGGAGCTAAACTAAGGAGATGCCCCCGATGTAATAAGGGAAGACATTGGGCCAGGGATTGTAAATCTGCTTTTGATAGTGCTGGCCATCCGATTCTGGAAAACTGGCAGAGGGGCCAGCCCCTGGCCCCTCAACAAAAAAACGGGGCAGCCCTGTCCTTTTCACAGCTTCAAGCCTACCTGCTGGCAACCAACAGCAATAAAAACAAACGGTTTCCAGTCTCCTCAGAGCAACCCCAGGAAGTGCAGGATTGGACCTCTGTTCCTCCACCTACACAGTATTAACTCCTGAGATGGGAGTTCAAGCTCTGCCTACGGGCATAGTTGGCCCCTTTCCAAAAGGATTTGTTTGTCTGTTATTAGGCTGCAGTAGCTTGGAATTGAGAGGCCTACATATTACCCCAGGAGTGATATATCAAGACTATACTGGAGAAATAAAAATTATGGCCTCAGCGCCTACTGGAGTTATATCTATTTCTGCTGGGCAATGAATCACTCAGCTGGTCCTAGTTCCTTTAATCTCTGTTGGAAATTCTGTTACTTCTGTCTCTAGAGGCACAAAATATTTTTGGGCCTCAGATGTAATTTGGATTCAAAATATAAAACAAGGAAGGCCTGAACTTATAATTTATATTCAAGAAAAGCCTTTTCAAGGTGTGCTGGATACTGGAGCAGATGTATCTGTAATAGCTAAAAAATATTGGCCTTCTCACTGGCCGCTTATTGCCTCTCTCACATCCTTAAAAGGAATTGGCCATGCTACAGATCCACAGCAAGGCAGTGCTATTCTCAATTGGAAAGATGATGAGGGCCATTCTGGAACTTTTCAGCCTTATGTGCTGGATCATTTGCCCATTAATTTGTGGGGGAGAGATATTATGGAAAAAATGGGAGTTTATTTGTTTAGTCCAAATGATGTAGTCACTCGACAACTCTTAGATCAAGGACTGTTACCTTCAGGGGGACTGGGGATTGGTCAGCAAGGCATTCGAGAGCCCATTCAGCCACAGCCCCGACCAAATAGACTAGGATTAGGATATTTTTAGCGGGGGCTGCTGCTTATCCTGCCCCTCACGCCGATCCTATTACATGGTTATCAAAAACTCCGGTGTGGGTGGATCAGTGGCCCCTATCAAATGAAAAGATTATTGTTGCCCAGCAGCTGGTGCAGGAACAGCTGGAATTGGGCCATATAGCTCCCTCTACTTCCCCATGGAATTCACCTATTTTTGTTATCAAAAGAAATCTGGAAAATGGAGACTTCTTCAAGATCTCCTGCGAGTAAATGTTACTATGGAACTTATGGGGCCGTTACAACAAGTTTTGCCCTCCTCAATGGTCATTCCCCAAAATACATACAAAATAATAATTGATTTAAAAGACTGTTTTTATACCATACGCCTTGCCCCTCAAGATTGCAAACGTTTTGCATTTAGTGTCCCTTCTACTAATTTTAAAGAACCCATAAAACGGTACCATTGGTTAGTATTGCCTCAAGGCATGGCAAATAGCCCCACCTTGTGTCAAAGTTTGTAGCGTGGGCTCTTTCTTTTACTCGCCAAAAATTTCCTTCCGTTTATATTATTCATTATATGGATGATATATTGTTAGCTCATTTAAACCCTACAGTACTACGACAAGCTTTTGGACAATTAAAACTAGACCTTACCTCATTTGGATTAATTGTAGCCAATGATAAAGTGCAAGAGCATCCTCTGTTCACTTATCTTGGTTATATTTTGGGTCCTTATTATTTTACTAGTCAAAAATTACAGATTAAAACTTCTCATTTGCCTACTTTACATGGTTTTCAGAAATTTCTGGGAGATATTAATTGGCTTTGCCCTTATCTTAAATTATCTACAGCTGAATTAAAACCTTTATTTGAGTTGTTAAAAGGAGACCCTAACCCTGCATCCCTCAGAGAATTAACAATTGAAGCGGCTGAAGCTTTAAAAATAGTAAATTCTGCTATCTCTTCCCAACATGTAAATTATATTGATTATTCAGCTCCTTGGGAAGCTTATATTTTAACTACACCTCATTCTCCCACAGCGGTCCTCTGGCAGAAGGGACCCCTTCTATGGCTTTCTTTAGCTGCTACTCCTTCAAAAGTATTAACTCCTTATTATGAATTGGTGGCTACTTTAGTTCACATGTGCCGTGTGGAATCTTGTAAATATCTTGGACGAGATCCACATGTTATTTATATTCCCTATACATTACAACAGCAGGAATGGCTTTATTTTCATTGTGATTCCTGGGCTATTGCTTGGGCTAACTTTATGGGCACAATTTCACATCATTATCCCTCTAACAAATTGCTTCAATTTGCCTCTTCTTATACTTTCATATTTCCTCACGTGATATCTTTATCACCTCTTTCTATGGCTGCCTTAGTGTTTACAGATGGATCATCTAATGGAATGGCTGCTCTTACTATTGATGGAAATACTACATCCTGGGATACCGGTCTTTCTTCAGCCCAGGAAGTTGAGCTTCAAGCAGTTTTACAGGCCCTTACGCTTCTGCCTACTAGTGCTTTTAATTTATATTCAGATAGTCATTATGTTATTCGAGCCCTTCGGGTTATTGAAACTGTCCCCTTTCTTGGAACAGCAAATTCCACTATTCAAACTCTTTTTCGCCAAATACAGCTTCTTCTTCACTCTCGCACTTGTCCATGTTATTTTGGATTTATACGTGCCCATAATAAACTTCCTGGTCCATTAAGTGAGAGCAATGCTATTACAGACAAGGCTACTCAAGTTTTTCTTACTCAAATTGATTTGGCAAAACAATCACATGCCATCCATCATCAAAACAGTCGTGCTTTACGCCGACAATTCCAAATCACTCGTGAGGCAGCTCGTCAAATTGTAAAGACCTGTCCTAGTTGTACTACTTTCTTACCAGTGCCCTCCATTGGAATTAACCCTCGAGGTTTAGTTGCCAATTAGATCTGGCAAATGGACGTTACTCATATTCCATCCTTTGGACGGCTTCGCTTTGTTCATGTTACTATACTTATTCTAATTTTATTATAGCTACTCCCCTTGCTGGGGAGACTAGCAAGCATTGTATTTCCCATTCTCTGCGTTGTTTCGCCACTATGGGACTTCCTAACTATATTAAAACTGACAATGGTCCGGGATATGTCGGACAAGCTTTTCAAAATTTTTTGTAAATCTTAACAGATTATTCACTCTACAGGTATTCCCTATAATCCTCAAGGTCAAGGAATTGTTGAACTAGCTAATGGTTTGCTCAAACATCAAATTTTTAAATTGAAAGGTGGGGAATTATACCCCATCTCTCCTGTTAATATTCTTTCTCATGCTTTGTTTGTACTAAATTTTTTAAACTTAGATTGTAATGGCCTTTCTGCAGCACAGCGGTTTTGGGAAAAAAGAGAGCAAAGAGCTTTTGCTCAAGTAAAGTGGAAGGATCCTTTAACAGGTGCTTGGCATGGGCCCAATACAGTTTTAACATGGGGTCGAGGATATGTTTGTGTTTTCTCGCAGGAAGAAAATGACGCCCGCTGGTTGCCTGAATGCTGCTTTAGGATTGTGGAGACTCATGCAGATGACACAAATGCTGACCCATTGGGCTTACATGCCGGATTCCCCGACTGTACACTCAGCCACCTGGGAGGGAGTTGAAGTACTCATTCATGTTAATAGATCAGCATACGGTACAGCCCCCGATCCTTTCATCCAATATATAAAAAAAGGAAATTTCTCAGCTTCAGGTATTGGAACTCCTTTATGTTTTACCACCAATTTTTAAAGCTCCATTCCAGGCTGTACTTTTATGCAATCCATGACTCATAAAAATCTAATGTACAATATACAAATGACATCCTTGCCAGGTGGCCAATTAGTTTATGCAAATTCTACTCCATCTTATAGGATACCCCGTTGCATTAATTCTTCACAGATAGAATCTACAGGAGAGCCTCATCCAATAAGGTGCAGGCATGTACAGCCATTTGTTACCAATATTTCTGGAACTAATTCTCAATTATTGGATTGGTCTGGAGCTAATCTTACTAATAAGTTCAGTCCTGGATTGTGGTGGATGAATGGGCATCCTCGACATCATGTTTGGAGGTGGCTGCACTTAATAATATAACTTGGCCCAATTCATCCCTTTTAAAAAAATTATGAGTTGTGTATCCCCACCCCATGTTATTATGTATGGACCATTTAATAATTCAGTAGGAGCTAATTATTTTAATGTTACCTTTTCTAATTGTTCTTTTACTAATTGCTTATATAGTGGCATAACTGAATCCATACTTATTGTTAGACAACCACCTTTTGTTATGCTTCCTGTAAATATTTCTGAAACTTGGTATGAAGATTCTGGTATTCAGGTGTTAAAACAATTGAAAGAACTAATGTGCCCTTGTAGGTTTGTTGGGCTACTTATAGCTGGAGTTCTAGCCTTTATTTCGTTAGCTGCCTCCTCAGCAGCAGCTGCTGTGGCACTAATTTGAAATGTACAAACTGCCCATTATCTTAATCAGCTTGCTCATAATACTACACAGGCTCTACACTTTCAAGGTAGGATTGATGATAAGGTAGAACAAAAACTAGAAGCCTTATATGAGTCAGTATTATCTTTAGGAGAACAAGTTCGCGCTCTGCAAACTTTACAGGGAGTGCGCTGTCATGCCAGGTTTGATTTTATTTGTGTGGCTCCTCATATATATAATGAATCAAATTACTCATGGGAAAAGGTTGTAGCACATCTTAATGGTATCTGGCACCATAATAACTTGTATTTAGATCATTTTCAGCTTCACAGGCAAATTGCCGGATTAGAACAAGCCCCACCGCTGGACACTGAAGTGGCCAAAATAGCTAACGAGCTGTTTGAACAATTTCAACACTATATCCCTTCCCTGTCTAATGCTAAAGGATTTTTAATGACATTGCTTGGCCCCGGTGAACTTTTATTGTTGGTTTTTCTTTGCGTTCCTTGTATCATATGTGCCCTGCAAAATTTTCTTACGTGTTTAGCCAGTCAGCTACATAAGATCAAGCTCCAAATAAATGAATTTCTCCCGAGAGGAACTGCAGCCAGAGACGGGTAAGAGGGGGTGCCAGTCTGACCAATCTAAGACAGGGCCTTCAGCTTTGCTCTGAAGAAGTTCCCAAAGACGGGTAAGGCAGACAAGGTGATCCACCCAACCTGA